CAGTTAGCATGCTTCGCTCAAACTTTCATCATGGCATTAGAGCTAGCGCACCGCTGTCGCTTGCAAATCAAAATGATGGTGTCATGGGCGTAAACTTGCAGATTAAGGGGCGGTAATATTATAATGAGATCCCTTTGCCACGTCACCAAGGGAGCGAAATCAGACGCGCTCGTTTTCTCAGACGCTTGCAGAAAAAGGCTTCCCAAAACAAAGCTACTGGGTTAATCTTTTTCACGTTTCCTTGGTTGGTAGATGCACCGGGGACCTGATTATAGAACTTAAAACCTGGAAAACTCAGATTTTCATGATATGTCACCTTTAATTCAAAGGGAAAACAAGCTTTCATTCCACATTGACAGTTAATTATTCTTGTTTTAAGCAGAAACTTACTTAATTTTGTTCACTTTCAGTTTTATTGGTTTGAAACAACATGAGGGTAAATAACAGATTTTCTGGTTTGCAAAGACTATTTTTGCTTCAAATCAAAGTGTTTGATGTTGTAAACAATCGGAGCTGTCGAGTGGATTCATGCCTGAATTTTCTAAATCTTCATCATGACATCTGAGTGTCTGGAGGTGTTTGTTTCTCACCTGTGCTGTGATTGGTCAGTCTGGAGGTGTTTGTTTCTCACCTGTGCTGTGATTGGTCAGTCTGGAGAAGGGTTTGGGCGGCAGGGCGGGAGGCTGTTTGTGGATGAGCTGAGGTTTGGCCGGTGTTTCCTGAAGGTCACTGGGGAAGGTGACGGTTTTCTTGGGAGGAAGCGTGAACGACTTGAGCGTGCTGTCCTGAGCACATACTCCTCCGTCCAGAGCCGCGCGGAACTCAACGGCGACTGAGAGAACAAAGCGTTCATCACCATTAGAAACACGAGGAACATCATCTATCCCATGAGCCTCTACTGTCCTGCTAACTCTGAGGAGAAAGAGAGCTGGACGCAGCAGAACAAAGCACATTATTCAGCTCATGAAGCGCCTCGTTATCTGAGCTGAACTCATTAAAAACAGCCGTTAGCTAAAGCAGCGCTTTCATGCTGTGTTATGGCTTTCATGTGCTGTAATTATCCCTGAATCCAGCTCGTGACTCCGCTGATGTCCTTCAGTACCATCATTACACTACAGATAGACACTGATTATTTGCCCACTGGTTATTTATCCTGAAAACTTTTTAATCTGGCATTTGTGTTATCTTGCATTGATAAAGAGCCTCCACAAGCTTTCATTTTCTCGGTTGCCAGATCTCTCGAGTTTAAATCCCCAATCAGAGCTTTTCTTTTATATATTATATATATTTCCTGCCCAGTGGTTTACTTAATCTTCCCAACCTGGCAACCATTTGCACACGCTCTCTCTACACTACAGAAAAAGCACTGATGAGCTGAAAACACATGCAAGTTTGAGTTTAGCAATCTCTCCTGATATATTCTGCTCAAATGAAAGCCAGTCTGTTTTCTTTTACGCGTACACTGGCAGACAAACCATGCGAGCTGATGTTCTGTTGATTTGTGCTTATGTGAACGTCCAATAATTCTGATGAAATGTAAAACTAAAAGGACAATAATGTGATTTATCATTATGATTATATTTTTGAGCAAAATAATCATGATTAACAGTTTAATCAGCCCGTGTGTTTCGTTTGTTTCTTCTCGGAGTGTATAATTATTCCAGTAAACACGGAAACCTTCATTTTACTGTAGTTTAAAATATATGCAATGCTCATTCTCGTTAAGTTGTCCAGTGCAAACATTAGACTTCGTTCATTTATTTTGCCTATAGTTATTATTTTTGTTGTTGCTATTGCGGTTTTAAAAATATTTGTTTTTATTATTGTGATATGAAAACAATTTAACAAAAACAAGTAAAAACAAATAAATATTGGTTCTGTATATCTGTTATCTGATATTCTGCATGACGATCAGGAATCGGAGATCAATCACACCACGGTAATAAAGCTGCTCATGCAGATAATGTTTGAGTAATGAGCGCTGTGAGTTAATGATCCACTCTCACTCACTCACACTCTCACACACACACACGCTCACTCGCACTCACTCAAACACACACGCTCACTCGCACTCACTCAAACACACACACACACTCACACTCACGCTCACATACGCACACTCGCTCTCACACACACACGCTCTCACACTCACACGCTCTCGCTCACTCTCACTCACACTCAAACTCACACTCACTCTCACTCACTCACTCTCACTCACTCACTCACTCACACTCACTCTCACACGCACACGCTCTTACACGCACACGCACACGCTCACTCACACGCTCACTCAGTCTCACACACACACGCTCACTCTCACACGCTCACTCTCACACACACGCTCACTCTCACACGCACACTCACTCACACATGCACTCTCACACGCTCACTCTCGCACGCTCACTCTCGCACTCACACTCACGCACACACTCACTCACTCACTCTCGCACTCTCACACGCTCACTCTCGCACACTCACACTCACACTCGCACACTCACACTCGCACACTCACTCGCACACTCACACACTCACTCACACACTCACTCACTCACACACTCACTCACA